AAAAGTGTATTGCCTGAGAATACATCAAATAGACATTATTTATTTAACATTTCCCTATTGGTTGATAGTTGATTTTAATTTTTTTTCTCTTCTAACAATTCTTTGATGGACATTCTGTGTCTTGATGGGATAAACCCAGGAGTATAGAGGAGGGGTTCAGGAAAGGCCTCCTGGAGGAAGTGACCTCTGTTGGAGACAGAGAAGCTGCCCAGGAGACAGCCAGGTGAAGGTGAAGCAGTGGGAGGCAAGCGTTCCTGGCGGAGGGGACAGCCTGTGCAAAGAAAGGCTTGGAGGAGAGATAGTGTCCCTGGAACTAGGAGGTCATTACAGCTGGAGGGTGTGCTGGGGTGGAGAGAGTTGGGCTATGGCTTGTGGGCATGAAGCGGGCTAGTTAGCAGATGACTAGGGCTAAGTCCTAAACAGTCCTGTCAGCCAAGCTGAAGCTTGTGGGCTTTGGACAATGGGGAGCCATTGCCCATAAGAGCAGAGAAGTGACATATCTAAGCTGGAGTCTCTGCAAGATCCGGGTGGCTGCTGTGTCTCAGCCAACTCCACATTTGACAACTAGACTAAGAGCTGTTATTGACACAATGAAACAAATTAGAAAGCAGAGAAGAAGAAGGGAAAAAAATAGCTCACATGTAACAGCTCACAGACAAATGTTTCAAACTGTCTAGGTTCTTATATTCAGGGGCACCACTGAATGACAAGTCACAATCCTTATTTCCCTCTCCAGCCTTGGATGAGGTGCCGTCTCATTTAAATAACCTGGCTGGCTTGGCCCCCATCTCTCTTCCAGGAGCCCCAGTGGTGTATCCTGATGACAAGGAGGCTTGGTTTTCTTTGAATAGCTAAGTGAGGAGGGAGTATTCGCCCAAGACAGCCAGAGAAGCAAGTGTGGTCTGCACTGCATTTGCCATTAGATCCCAGCCACTGAGCTGCCCATCCTGCAAGGACGCAGCAAGCACAGAGCTGACCCGGGCTGTGCCTCCTGCGGGCTGATGTCTCCATTTGGGGAACTCTGTTGAAGCTAACACACAGTGACAGCTCCATTTGAAAAACATGGCAATGTCTAGGGAGGCTGTGATCTGCCAGCCCAGTAAGTTGCTTATTAGCAGGGACAACATACTCCCCCTGTATCGTGCCCCCTTGCTTAACCCTTGTCCTTGCATCTCTTTACTGCCATCTCACTTAAAAGATTTGACTGTTCACTGAGGCAGTGGGGAGTGTGATGGCCCCTGAAGACTCTGTATCTCCGCTAACAGGCTTCCTAGACTGGCTGGTTTGGGTCCCAACACCCAGGCCAAAGCAAAACACCTGAAGGCCTGCCTTATAACTGGCCACCTCACCCCTGCGTCCCTGCCATGGGCACCTCCGTCCCCTCGGCCCATCCCCTTCTCTACCACTCTCCCACCATCTCTCTCCTGGGGGGTGACTGCAGCTGTCTTTTCTGCCCTCCCCAGTGCCTCTGCCATCAGTCTAGCTCCCGCTCCTCTGCAGTCCCCACGCAACAGCCAGGAAGCTCCCGCTCAGTCTGTCACAGCTCCCCTGGGCACTCAGCTGTACCACAAATGAAACTGATGCCCAATTTCCCCCATAAGTATGCTCTACCTCTTGTGTGCCCCACCCACCATGTAACTCAGGACAGAGGTCTTGGGGTTGTTGACCAGTCCCCTCTTTCTCACATAACCCATATCCTACCCACCAGCATATCTTGTGAACTTCACATTCAAAGTTCATCCCCAAACCAAGTGCATCTTCCCGTGTCCCCCACTATCACCTTCCTCCAGGCCCCCCTCATCTCTTGCCTGCATCGTTGCAGCAGCCTCCTAACTGGCCTCACTCTTTCCGCCATTGCCCCCAGCCCATCCGCCTCTTCTGTGCACAGCTCCCATGATCCTGCTGAAACATGAGTCAGGGGGGACATCTGTTAACAGTGTCAACAATATAAATAAATAAATAAATAAATAAATTTCTTTTAATCTTTAAAAAAAAAAAAGGAAGAAAGAATTCCCCAGTGGTGCGAAAACCCTCCATCTTCACATGGCCGGCGAGGCCCATGACCTGGCTCTTGGTGCCCCTTCTGACCCCTCCTTCCCTCCCTGGGTCACTGCTCTGGCCACACCGGCCTCATGGCTGTGTGCTGACTTCCACATGCAGAGGTCATTTCCACAGAGCTGACTGCCTTGTCAAAAATGACATTCTCTTCACTCTTTATCTCTGACCTGACTTCATTTTTCTTAATATCACTTCTCTCCAGCATTAAAATATATCTTTACATTTCCAGTTACATTTTTATTGTTTGTTGCCTTTTTTTCCCCAGTAGAATGTAAGATCCACAAGGCATGGATTTGTATAATTTATGATCAGCACACAGTAGATACTCAATAAATATGTCTTGACTGAGAAAATGAATAAAGAGAGAAAGAATCTGGACAGCAGCCCTGACCATGCTGCATGGATGCCAAGGGTCCATCTTTTTGTGGGCGTTCTCTCCCGTGGGCCAGCAGACTATCTGTGAGACTCCAGGTCTCAGATTGTATGGCTGGGGGCAGGGTCACTTCTCATTTTCTGAGACCTGAAGCCAAGATATCAAAAAGCTGGAACAGTATAGTCTGGAATAACAAATATATTTCTCTAAGTCTGACACAAGCCTTTTAAAAATGCAAGACTGTTTCCTCAGTATTTACAACTTGAATATCCTGAAAACTGCTGGATGGAGACTTGACTTGGGGTGGTGAACACACAATACAGATGATGTGTTGTAGGGTTGGGCACCTGAAGCCTGTATAATTTGGTTAACACTGTCACCCCAATAAATTCAATAAGAAGGGAAAAATTAAGCTGGAAAAAAAAAGAAGAGAAAATAATATGAGACTGTTTCCTCAGTATTTACAATAAAAACAGCCTGAGGACACTCCATTGTATGAAGCATATGCTGTCTGGAGAGATTTGTAGTAGACACAAGAAAACAAGAAGAAAGTAATGCTTAGGGCTAGGGCGCATTGAGCACTTACTTGCAGGGGATCAGGCACTGTACTAGTCACATTGATTTTCTCATATTATCCTCATCACAGCCCCCTGTGAGAGCAATGAGAACTGTAGTGGTTCACAAAAGAGACCTTAAAGAATGTGCCTGAGTTGTACAGCTAGTGGGCGTCAATGTCCAGATTCAGTCCCATGTCTGCTTGGGCTTCCTTCTTCCCAAACCCAGATGGAGCCAGAGGCTCCGTCTCTCTTATCTGAGAGCTACATCCCCTGCACACATACCCAGTACCTCTGCTCCCTGTGACTGGAGGGCTTGAAAGAGGAGCTTGTATTCCTTGACTTTCTCAACTTACCTTCCCTTTCCCAGTGAAGTGGGCACAGCCTGGCATTTCCTCATCCGTCTCCTTCCAGTTGCCAAATGCAATGGCAAAACTTCAGTGCCTTCCCTACTTGACCTCTTGGAGATTTTTCTGCAGTGACAATGCCCTGTTATTATTATCTCTTTTGCACCTTCCATATTCTGTCTTTTAAAAAAAAATTTTTAAGACCTCTCTCCTGAGGTCCAGAACCTGTACTTCTAACTCCTTCAGGTCATCTCCTAGAATCTCACTGGTCCCTCAGAGTCATCATGTCCAAAATGAAATAGTCATCTTTCTGACTTCTCCTGCTTTCTTTGTCTCACTCAAACCAGAGACCTCATCATTCTCATCCTTGATTTCTCCTCCCTCCCCTCCCAGGCCCGCCCACCCCCTTATTCAATAACTTAACAACCTGTCAATCATTCTTGTCCAATGGAGACAGACGTTTGGGCTCTGATGCTAGGCCAACTTGCCCACAGTGCAGCTCTGCTGCTCTTTGGCTGTGTGACCTTGACAGATGATGTAATCTTCCTGGCCTCAGTTTAGTCATCTATCCCATAGGATGATAATAGAACCCATTTCTTAGGGTCATTGGGAGGATTAGATAAGATAATGAATGTAAAGAAAATTCTAGGGTCCCTGGCATATAGCAAATGCATAATAAATGTTAGCCGTTATAATTACACTCCTACTACTGTATTATTAGATTGTGGTTGCCTCTTGTAGACACTGTTTGAAACAGTTAGAAAGCAAATGGGCTTTTCTGCTGAAGAACAAAGAACATCAAATTTGTGACTTGTCCCTTCTAATTAGGTGGAAACTAGGGTGTGCATGTGTGTGCACTGATACACGTGTTATACCTCTGCCTCAGACCAAGACCTTTCCTGTAGCGGGACCACAGGATGGGTGAAAAATGGCAGTGGTTTTCCCTCTGGAGCCCGACTGGCTGACCAAGCTCTGCTTTGTATTTCATCCCATTCCCTTCCTTCCCATTTGCAGAAAGAATGGCTGTTAACCTTCTCACACCTTATAGTTAAAGACCAGTAGCTCATCCAGCTACCCAGGGCCCCGTGGGTGACCTGGCATTGCAGCCACCAAAACCCAGGTCCAGGGAGCTTTCTGTGTTGACTGGAATTTGTAAACTCCTGTATCTGCTGAGCTAGAAAATGTCAGTTGTTCCTGAGTGAGAGCCAACAGACAACAGTTTGAGGGACCTGCTCCTAAATATTGCGATCTCCCAGGTGATGTATAAGGGTCATTATTTTGCATCTTTGCCACATAAAACATCTTAGGTACCCTGATTCCATCTCTTTCAGCAGACAAGCTTGGCTGACTCCTTGGAGGGGAGGGGAGGAGGGAAACATGACATATGCCACCAGCCCCACCATCTCATGCTTTTGCCATACAGCTCCTGACTGCCCAGTGGACACCAGGGGCAGCTCATGAGCTACAGAAACTGAAGGTCAGGAGCCCAAGGTCATGAACCAAAGGTCATGAAAATTTTGCATTTTATGTTGCTCTCATGTCTGGTCATGGAAACAACCTCTCCGGGGTAGTGAAAGGGAAGGGATGGAGAAAACCACACCCAATTTTGTTTGGTTCTATTGTGTTTTGTTTCCACCCACCACAAGTTCTTTTCTTCCCCTCTCATAGTGTGGGCGAAATGCTGAAAACTTCGACCGATTTTTCACCCGTCATCCACCAGTCCTAACACCTCCCGACCAGGAAGTCATCAGGAATATTGACCAATCAGAATTCGAAGGATTTTCCTTTGTTAACTCTGAATTTTTAAAACCTGAAGTCAAGAGCTAAGTAGATGTGTAGATCTCCGTCCTTCATTTCTGTCATTCAAGCTCAACGGTTACTGTGGTGACATTTTTTTTTTCATTGTGACGCTGCATCCATGTTTATTTGCTGATGAGACTAGAGTGACCATGTTCCAGAACCCAAATGTCCTCAGGTAGTTTGGAGCATCTCTATGAGATGGAATTATGCAGATGTCATGCTGAAAATGCTGCTGCATAATTAACACATTATCCAAGTCCTCTTACAATTAATTTTCTCTGGCATGTCAGCTAAGTAGAGCCAGTAGGGACAGAGAATGCCTGCTTTCTTTTCCTTCATTTCTGCATTGCCATTTTTTTACATTCTTCAGCTCCAACCACCCAACCTAGATTCTTCCGACCCAACGAGTGGATCATCGGATGCTAGCAGTGTTCTTCCACTTCCAGGTCTGGAGCTTGGCTGATGTCCAAGCATATGGTTGCTTTGACTTAGAGGGAATTCCTCCATTCTGCCTGGTTTGGAGGCACCGTAAGCCTTGAAAAGAATGTGCTAAAAATAAAATTTTATTTGTTATTTTTTTAAACTCAAAGTTAAGGAGATTATCTAAGCCCTTTTAAAATTACAAAACTGTGCTTTTAGATAGCTGCTATCTAAAAGCACCTCAAAAGGTCAAAAAGGCAACCAGCTTGGGTGCTGCCTCAATGCCTTCATTCCTGACCCTGTATGTCCCTGATCACCTTCATCCCCACACTACTTGGGAAGGGCATTTGGAACCACTTTCTGAAAGGACATGGTCATTCTAGCAAGGTCCCAAAGGACCATAATTTTACATTACATTTCAAACTTTATTTGCTTTGGGGTTTTATTTCTGTTGTTCAAATGCGAAAGAAAATACTCACTTTGTTGCACATGCTCTGAAGTAGATGTCTTGTTACTAATCACAATAACCAACTGATTTACAAAGAAGACTGTGGCTGGGGCCTAGAGGACCCATGCCAGAGCAGATGGGACTGGTTTAGGTTTGTTGCTGGCTTTGGAAAGCTAATTAAGTGCTCTGAGAAAGACACCATTTCTCGAAACAGACAGTTGTTTCCTTCTCTTTGATGCGGTTTTGCAAGATGTTTGTGGAAATGTTCATTTGTATCTGGATATGTGTTATGTGCCGTTTTTCTTCTAGCATCGAGATGCAATATTAAAAACAGAAGAAGAAGAAATGCTATTTCAAGGAAAATGGCTCTCTTTGAAAAATGTCGACCCCAACTTACAAAGTGGGGCTTCCCGCAGCCCTGAGACAGAACGGACTAAACCCAGAGCTTAATCTTAGTCCTAGTGTTCAGCCAGTTAGGGAGGTGGAGGCTGAGGACCATTCAAGGACTCCCAGTGGTCTGTAATAGGGTGGGGTGGACTAATCAGGGGCTTCCAGTGATATCAGAGCCCACAGCCCACATTTGGGGGTCAGCTAGGAGCATGGTGAGAGATCCTGATTTTCTTATCAAAATCACTCCTCCTCCCAGCTTGGACTAAATATTCTTTCTAGCAAGCACCTTTATGAGATCCCAGTAGCCCAAGAAGAGACTTTCGGTGGGAGAAATCCCATTTCTATCTAAACAGATAAGGACAGCAAGTGTTCCCCATCCTTGTCTCCAGGCTCCTGCTATTCTCAGGCCTACAGAGAATTCTTATAACAAGTTGAGTGATTTCTGGAAGCTCCAGGGCTTCTAAGAGACTATTAAGGGAACTTTAAAAACTTGACAAGTGTCCTTGAAGTAAAACTTCTCATCTTTAAGAAAACCACAATTTGGATTTGCTGCCATTCGACCCTTTCTGCCTTCTCGCTTCCTGCTGCAGGCTTTGGGAACATCTAGAAGGCTCTTGTGGTAATCCTCTAGACCTCAGGTAAAGCAAACTTGAATTCCCAGATGATAAGTTTAGGCATTTAGAGAAGGAGGGAAATTGGGGCAGAACCCCCTCACCTCCCTGCTGGAGAAACTGGCATCTGGAGAAAGGAAGTGACTTCCCCAAGGTCAGGAGCTGGGATGCAAACCCACGTTTCCTGAAACTTGGTGCAAGACTCTTTCTGCTCTGTAACTGGCATCTCTAAGCCATGCCCACCAATAGGCAAGTTAGTTGAGGTCCTTCATCCGGCTGTTAGGGACCAGGCTTTTCCTCAGATGTGCTCTCTCAGGAAGGTAAAAACCATGAAGAAACATTGGGTGGTTGACAAATGACCTGAGACAACTTTAGAGACCAATGTAGTTAGGTAGATAGGTAGGTAGGGTAGATGGTAGATAGGAAGAATATACTGTATATACGAGGTCTGTCCAGAAGATATCCAGCCATATAATATGAAAAATAGAGATATTTATTAAAGAAGATACAAGAAACATTGTACACAGGACAATGACACCTCAGTCCCCTTCAAAGTAGGCATCTTGGGAATCTCACACAGTTCTCCCAGTCACCATTAGTTGCCCCATCATATTTTCCTGAATCTCACCTATGGTCTGAAATCTCTTCCCTTTCAAATGTGGTTTTAGATTTGGGAAAAGCCAGAAGTTGCAAGACGCCAAATCTGGGCTGTTGGGGGCCTGAGTCACCTGGGCAATTTGTTGTTTTGCCAAAAAACCCTGCATGAGATGTGATGCATGAGCGGGCATGTTGTTGTGATGAAGCTGCCAGTCACAGGTTGCCCATAGCTGTGGCCTTCTGAATCATCTGAATCATTTTTGCAGAGGAATGTGTGAGCTTAACTCAGAATTTGATGCAGATCCGTTGCTCTACTTGCTCAGTCATTTTCAGTGTGATGACCACACAGTACACATGCTCACACAATGGCATTTACCACCCCCACTGACTAGTACAGTGAAGTTGTCATTGTTTATGCTGCATGCACATTCCAGTCCACTCTCCTTGACTGCTGGGTTATAGCAATGTTGCACAAACTGTTCTTGTTATATTAACAATGGTTGGAGTTTTTCTGGACAGACCTCATACACACAGTGCTCTACGTTTTCCAAATTGCTGCCATTATTTTCCAAAAGTTTGATAGTTTTCAGAAATGGAACTTAAGCCAAAGTCATTGTTCCCCTAACACACTTCACTGAGGTTGGGCAGGGAAGCCTTCTAGTAAGTGTCAATTAGTCAGAATTCCTACAGTTTCTTTTGCTATCAACATTTCAAGTGCAGGGGAAATAGAGGAATAGAGCTTTCAACATAGATGATCTCTTCAGAATACTTTGCAAATTTATTCAGGAAGAAAGATTTTAACTTACTTTTGCCATTATTGTTGTATTCTACCCTTCTCTCATTCACCCAGCCATCACTTATTGAGCATCCACTGTGTGCCAGACCTATGCTGGGTGCCAGGAACACACTTGGGAGCCATAAAGATGCAATCCAGGAGGACAGGCATTAAACAAGTCATTGAAATCCTAGTATGATCTAGAAATAATTAGTCTCTGGGTTAGTCAGGAAAGGCTTCTTGTAAGAAATAAAAAGTCCTCCAAGGAGTTCAGGGTTCTGCTTTCTCTGTAGACCACAGTTTGAGCTGAAGGAAGAGGAGGAGCAGTGTCCTGTTGACACTAATTTCTGGGACAATCCTATAGTACAGTGGGCAGGGAAGGAGATGCAGGATGGTGGCTGGGTTAGGTTTCCTTCCAAAAGACCAAAGGCACTCTCTCTGTGCCTAAACAGAACACAACATCACCAAAACTAGAACAGAGACAGATACCTTTATGGAGAGAGGGGCCTGGTTGTACAGTTTAGTTCTGAGTCCTGAGCCTCATCTCTTGGGGGTATCACTCAGATCCCTTTCTGGCCCTCAGGGAGATACTTTCCTTCCAGCACACTGCCCCTAGCTTGACACCTTCTGGTGCTTCTAGATGAGATGGCCTGAGATTTTCCAAAATAATTAAAATTAGGGAAGAATAAAAAACTTAAGAAAAGCCAAAAAACCTAAACATAGTCCATGTTAGCCATGGATAATTGTCTACCAGGATGCAAGACCTCTTTTCATTTCTTAGACTTCTTATTAATCTGCTCCTCTTCTAAGGATAGGACACTGATCACAATGACCTCCTAGGAAAATTAATAGAAGGTCAGTGGAGTTAATAACCCTCCTTAGTTAAATACCACTGTTCTCGTGTGGCCTCAGATACTATAAACTCAGAAAGGAATTGTCTCCACAGAGAGGCCCCTTCACTCCCAATTTCTAGAGTAAAATTCAGGTATTTTCTATGAGGATCTGCCCTCAGGACAAAGTCCACAATGCCAAGTCCCATTTCCAAACTGGAGCTGGTGGGAAGGGACCCTCTGCTGGAAGCCCAGAGGCATGGAAGTATGCATGGGGTCAAAGTTACCAGGGCAGACCTGCAAGGAGGCCAGAATAACTAGGACAGACAGAATTTTTGTTTGTTTATTGTAAGGTTGCCCTTACAGACCTGACTTTAAGCTTTGGGTTCTGTTCCTTATAGTTTGTTGACTAGATACATGCTATCGACATCCTTGGAGAGACCTTTGGGCTGATGAAGGCCCACCATCTAGTCCATGGGTAGATTTCTGAGCATCCTGTGAAAGCCTAGATTGCACCAGGGAATGTGGGGGGACAGTGGTCAGCTCCTTTCATTAAGCAGTGGTCCTGTATCCCCACATGCCACTCTGCTTTGTGGGGAGTGAAGTAGTTACTGCTTTTCTTCTTCAAGAAAGGGTCATCCTAGCTACAGGGATCGCTTTTGGGTGGTTTTCTCTGGGATACTTTATCCACTGACTAACTCTATGACATTACACATGGTGAGAAGTAGTGTCCAACTCATTTCATCTCAAAGCCAAAGAAAGCAAGACTAACTCCCCACTTTATGACAACCCTTAAAGAAATTCAATGTCTGATTTCCTTTCTTAGGAAATTTCCACCAAGTTTTCTCTCCTGAAGCCAACATAGGATATAAAATGAAAGCTGGGGGTAGCACGTGCAATGCAGCTGCTCTAACTTTCAGCGCGGGGCTACTTCTGACTCTGCCCACAAGAGTTCAGCAGCTTCCCGATGACTGGCATGTCTCGGTTCTGCTTCCTTCTTCTTATGCTGTGTTAATGTTTGCTTTCCATTTGGCAGAGAGACAAGCGAGACACCTCCAACTTCGACAAAGAGTTCACCAGACAGCCTGTGGAACTCACGCCTACTGACAAACTCTTCATCATGAACTTGGACCAAAATGAATTTGCTGGCTTCTCCTATACTAACCCAGAGTTTATCATTAACGTGTAGGTAAATGCATACTCCTTTGTTGAGCCTGGAGGGTAAGACTTCAGGCCATGTGTATGTATTGATTCTAGTCTTCCAGGATTCATGGTGCACATGCTGGCATTCCTCATGTGAAGAGCTTGTTCTAGAGGGCTTTTCTTTGTATGTGTAGCTTGCTAGTTTGTTTTCTACATTTGAAAAATGTTTAGTTTAGAGTAAGCGCTTTATCAAAGTATAGAGGAACAATTTCCCGAACTTCCAGAAACTCATTGAATGAACAGACGCTGTCAAAACTACTGTCTGATACCAAAATGCTTCAGTATTTGTAATTTTTAAAGTCAGAAGCTGACGTTCTGGTAAAAGTTTTTACAGTTATTCTACTATATCTTTGAATGCTAAGCATGACTGGTATTTTTAAAAATTGTGAGTAAGCTTTGCAACTACTGTGAACTATTGTCTCTTGGAGGAGATTTTTTTGTTTAAAAATTGATATGATTAAACTCAGTAAATATATGCAAACTCTTGTTAACATGTCTGCTTTTAATAGACTCTGCTACAGAGGTTACAAACTGGAGAGCCATTGGCTGATGCGGTTGGAAGATGAGCTTGGTTTCACATACACAAAATTTTATTTAATTGAAATCATTGTCAACATTTTAAAAAATGGAATATTTTAGTTAAATTTCTGGGCCCTTAGATTCACTTGAAAAAAAATCAGATTAACTTGACAGAACTGAGTCATGGCTGTCTCCTTTCAGGGCAATGTGTACTTGCCCTGGTTGGGTGCTCTGTTGGTTGGAGCGTATAACAAAAATGTTCCAGGTTCAATCCCTGGTCAGGGCTCATACCTAGGTTGTCAACCCCTGATCAATCCCAGGTCAAGTCCCTGGTTGGGTCTCATACGGGAAGAAACCAATCAATGTTCTCTCTCACATTGATGTTTCTCTTCCCTCCCTCACTCGCCCCCCTCCCCCTGCCGCCAACACACTTACTCTCTAAAATCAATAAACATATCCTGCACTGAGGATTTTTTTAAAAAAGCAATGTGTGCTCTCATTTTACCACATTCTCCACCATGCCTTATTGTCCACACTTTTTATCCACTTATTTGGCTGCTGTAGCCATCTGAGGTTGAGACACTTGCGAGTCACAGGCTTCATGACCTCACTATTTTCCTGTGCCCATAATCAGACTATCTGCTCAGTCATCCCATCAATGTGGTTTGTGTGTGTTAAATCCTCGAGCACAAAGTAGATAACAAAAATTTCATTCCAGCCATACCAAAACCCAGCAAGGAGTCTGATGTCAGTACAGAAACATCACTTTTCTGTGGTCTATGAGGACGTCATTGTTTGTAAAACTACTTACCTTTTACTATTTTCTCCTAATTCAGGATCTGCAAAAAAAGGCAGGCGGGGGGTGGCACGGAATATATCTTCTTCTCTGCTAAGGAGGCTAGAAGAGAAGGGCAAAATAAGGGAAGTCCCTTTTAAATGCTGTTGACATGATAAGGATGCCTGAGATGCGAGTGGCACATTACCACATCATTGTGTATCAGCCTGGTATCTTCTTCTCTGAATGAATTCATGCTTATGTTTTATTTTTGAAAGATATAGTAATCCAATCTATAGCACATGCCTTTGGAGCTGCCAATGTCAGTGGGTAGCAGAAAAGAAAAAGCCTGACACACCAAGTATGTTATGACTCCACACAGTTTATTCATCTCCTTGGATGACGCCCTGTAAATGGGCATTGGTGAGACTGTGGATCTATTGATCCTGGTGTACTCTGCAGAATTTTTAAAACTCTGTCAGTTAAAATAGAATAAAGCAACTTAAAGAAGAAATTGTGTTCTATGCATCACATTTAGAAAAGAAAAATACGTGGATTTCTATTGATGTTTGCTGACATGTTCCACTTAAGATTGTATTACAGAAGAGGTTGCTATGCTGCTTCTGGTTCCTCCCATTTCATGCTAACCCCTCATATTTTCTTCCTCTGCTGGGTATAAACCTGTGTTTCATTTCATAAATATTGAGCACCTGCTATGAGCCAGCATAGTTGTGGATGCTAGGGAGATAAAGACAACAAGACAGTATAGGACTTTCCATTCACAGGGACAAAAGACTGCAAGATTCCCAGCCTCTCATCTTCCTGAGATTACATCCTATAAAAGTTCTGCACTTTACTCTGATTGGCTTAGTCTGGTTGGGGAAGGGCCTTGATTGGCCAGACCTAAGTTGTAGTAGATATCTATCGCTGTGTTATAAATTGCTCCAACATTTTGAAACAAATATTTATTCCCTGTCAATGTCTGGGCAGGAGACTGGTTGTGGTTTAGCAGATGTAACACCTGTCGTGAGGGTGCAGTCAAACTCTTGGCCAGGGCTGCAGTCACAAATGGTCAACAGGGGAGTGGATGGGATTTATGTTGAAGCTTACTTCCAGGGTCTTTGGCAGCATCAGTTCCTTGACAAATAGGCGTCTCTGTAGCATGCCTCTGGTCATGGCCACTGGCTCCCCTGGGTGTGAATGATTCAAGAGAGAGTGCCTAATCCAAAGGCCAATAATCTCATAAGTAACCCAATCTCAGAAGAGACATCCCATCATGTTGCTGTTTTCTGTTCTTTAAAAGCAAGTCAAGAAATCCATCCCACACTGAAGGGAAGGGGATTATACAGGGTGAGAATTCTGGGGGAAGAGAAGAGCAGCACTCTGTCAGTTTAGAGACCATCTTCCACATACATCTTGAGCTGCACCTCAGGACTGCTGGGTAGAGTGCCACCCAAACCACATGAATGGAGGATGGAGAGCTGTCTCTCTGAATAAAAATTGGAAACTTTTTGGAACAAGGGGGATGTATGTTCAGGAAGCAAAATGCAAAGGTGGACTCTGCAAATGAGCATTTTGGGCTGTCCCAAAGATTCCTTAGTAATGTAGAGAGAAAAGCCAATGATGAGAATCAGTTAAAGGACTGTCTCACTTGGCATTGTACTTAGTCCACAGAAGTCCCCCCCATTGCTTCATTCCAAGCTCACCACAAAAGGCAAGGACCTAAATTTGAACTGATGAGTTATAGTCCTCTGTCTTCAGGGACTCAAAATGCACCAAGAAGATGAGTTGGTGGAAACATACACACAATACAAATCTACATCAAATTATCTAATACTCAGTGACAAAACACCCCAACACTTAGTGTCTTAACATAGCCATTTATTTAACTCACAGTGGTGTTTTTTCTGGTCTGGAAATCCCAGCTTATCTCTGATGGACTTGCTATGAATTCTCAGTCAGGTAAAAGGTCAGCTGGTGACTAATTGGTCTAGGATGGCCTCATTCACATGTGTGGTGTTTGACATACTGACTGATCTAGGGGAAGCTCAGTTGGAAGGACTTGTTTTTGCCCAAAATGTTCTTGTGTGTTCCAGCTAGAACATAGACTTCTTTATATGGTGGTTTTAAGGACTCCAAAGAGTAGTAATGGGAAGCAAATCCCAATGCACAAGCACTTTTCAAACCTCTGCTTATGTCATGTTTGCTGTTTTCCCATAAGCCAAATTCAAGGGGTGGATAGATTCCACTTTGGGATGAGAGGCACTGTAGAAACACATTGCAAAGGCAAAAGGGCACAGGCATAGAAAAATGTGTGGCCAATTTTGTGTCTGTGGCACAGTCCATCAATGAAACTGTTCATGAACTTAGGGGGCATCAAAGAAATAAGACAGGTGGTAAAAAAAAATGGTCAGGAACTTCCTAGGCTTCCCCATGGTCAGGCCACATGAATCACCAGAAGTTAGTCTTCTTCCTTATCTCTTCAACTGCAGCACCCAAAGACCCAGTGCCAGAGTTCAGGCTTGTCAGCTGGATAACTAGAGTCAACTTGAGAGCTTTTCAAACCAATGAAAACAAGATTCTTAAATCTTCAGGTGTTGTTCCTGCCATGGTTCTTTTTCTCACCTCACATAACTGAGATTCTGGAGAAATCAGGGAGGATTGTAAAGCAAGATAAATAGGAACCAAATCTAAAAGCTTAAAGTCAAGTATCTCAGGTCCTGTGTCCTTACTGGTTTTGAAGATAATTGCTTTGACCAACATGGGATACCAGTGCTCATCACTTCCTAGACAAGCAGTGCTCGCTCCCAAAGTGAATTCTAATTTCCCCAAACATTAGAGGTTTGAACACTAGAGTCCTGGCTCAATGACTGAACCACACTCTCCACTATGGGTTTTGTTTCATAAATGCTCTTTTCCCTGATGTGTAGCCTGCCCAAATTAAACCAGATGTCAGGATGAGATTAAAATGGTATTTGAACAAAAGATGCAGGAACATTCAATTCTGTTCTCAACCAGCCACTCTTTCCCACAAGGTCCAAGAGGTAAATAAATGCATAGTGGACCATGCTTAGCAAATGAAGAGTTGGTTACTATTTGAAGATTTGACTGCATATCCCTAAGGTGGGTGGGTTTGCATACAGAATTCTTAGATATTGTGTGAATTGCATTGGTTACTGATCTCAACAAATTACCCCAAACAAGGTACATGTATTAGCTCACAGTTTCTTTATGTTGGAAATCCAGGCACAGCTTAGCTGGGTCCTCTGCTTCAGGGTCCCTCATAAGCTGCAGTAGATGTGTTGGCTAGGGCTGTGGTCTCATCTGAAGGTGCAGCTAGGGAATAATTCACTTCCAAGTTTGCTCACATGGTTGTTGGCAGGATTCCGCCCTTTGTGAGCCATTCCACTCAGAGCCTCAGTTCCTCACCAGCTCTGGCTGGAGGATGCCCTCAGCTCCTTGCCATGTGGCCCTTTCCAAAATGGTGGCCTGCTTCATCAAAGTGTACAAGCTAGGATGGCAATATAGCAAGAAAGCCAGGAAGGTAGCAGTTCTATTCTTTTGTAAATAAAATACAAGAGTGAAGTGACAGTATATCATTTTCCCTGTATTGTTTATTACAAGCAAGTCACTAGATCCATCACACACTTAGAGAGAAGGGATT